AGAACCACATCCAGCCTGGCCTTGGATGCCTCCAGGGATAGCACATCCACCACCCCTGGGCAACCTGTGCCAGTATTTTACCACCCTCATTGTAAAGAATTTCTTCCTCATGCCCAGCCTTAATCTTCTCTTTTTTAGTTTAAATCATCATCCCTTGTCCTATTGCAACAGGCCCTGCTGAAATCTCATTCTTATAGACTTCTTTTAAGTACTAAAAGGACACAATAAGGTCTCCCTAGAATCTTCTCCTGACTAAACAACCCCGACTCTCTCAGCCTTTTTGTCATAGAAGTGCTCCAACACTCTGCCCATTTCAGTGGCCCTTCTCTGTTAAGATTCACCAGCCCAGCACTATTTCCAATACAAGGCAGCACAGGCAGGACACCAGCTGGACACCACCACCTCAACTTTGTTTCCACGGGGGCAGGGTGAGGCTGAGGGGCCGGCAGCTGTACAAGCTCACCTGGGGCACCACATAACTTGAGAACTGAGGAGCCTCATAGCTCCCAGAACAAGCCCACACCTGAGCCCATCTGATGGAGCGCTGGTGCCCAAACCAACCGTGGCACAGGGCTTGAGAAGGTTTTCAGAAGCCCCCGAGGACCGCAACGCGGGGACACTTCACCGCCCGCGCTGCCGCTACCTCACGGCTTCCTGCTTCCCGCCGCGCTCCTTTTAAAGGCTTCGGTGACGTCATGGCCGAAACGAGCGCCAGCTAGACGCGCCGTTGCTCCGCCCCCGGCGGGTCTTTGGGGGTGGTGCCGATAGATGGAGGCCAGGCGGGGAGTGGGGGGGGTGGTAGTGCGCAGGCGCACAGCGGAGCGTGGTCGGGCCGCGGGCGGGCGGGCGGCAGCCGGCGGGGTGTGGGGCGGGCACTCAGATGAGCAGGCGCTGCCCGCCAGCCGCGGCCTCGTTGCTGCGGGGGCTTGTCGGCCCCGCTGTTCTCTGCCTGGGCAGGAGCATGAGTCTCTGCGGGGCGCCGGCCGCCTGCGCCGCGGGGCCTGCGGGTGCTGGTGGTGGCGGTGGTGGTGGCGGCAGCGGCGCGGGGTTCTCCTCAGCGCGGCTGAGCCCGCCGTGGCTGAGGCTGCCTCAGGTGCCGGGCGCGGAGCCGCACCGGGCTAACGAGTTGCTGCTGCTGCTGCCGCTGGCCCCGCGCGGCTCGGCCCCGCCGCAACAGCATCACGTTGTCTACTTCCCGGGAGACGTGCAGGTACGGCAGGGAGGGCTGCGGGCGGTAAGCGATGGCGGGCGGGAGCGGGGAAGCGGCGCTGCTGGGGATCCCGCGGCGGGTAGTCAGAGGCTTCCCTAGGGAAGCATCTCTGGGCGCTCGGTGCTCGTTACCGTTCGGTAAATGTAGCGGAAATGAGCCGTTCTTGAAGCCTGAAACGCATCAGCAATTGGAGGGGAGTCGTCTTCTATGGTATTGCTTGAGATTGACATTTCTGGCGATGATGGCGGTATCTGAAAAGGTGTCAAAGAGCGTCAGAGGAAAGACAATGAAATCCTAAAATGGCAAGTTCTTCTCATCAGGTTTAGCACGTCGTCTCTGTGCGGGCGTACAAACATCCCAGGCACCATCCTGCGGTATTTCATGGGCGCTGTTGCTTCCTCAGTGTGTCCTGAAGGCACGTGTTGTCTCTGAGTTGACAAGTAGGAGACTCTGAAGTGCTGTCACTAAGCATGTGGTTGACCTCTGTAACATACATACTTTGGAGAGTCAGCTCATCTCACAAGTCATTACTGCTCAAAAGCAGGGGTTAGTGCCTTTTTGTTCTAGGGAAAAACCTTTCCTTTTCTGTAAGGTAAATGTGCAAAACTTAGTAGTAGATTTTCATTTTAAGGCTTGGGGTGGCCTAAGAAAACCTTTCTGATTTTCATTCCTGGGTATGGCTTTATTCCTTAAGAAAATAAATCAATTGGTATTCTCTGCCATTATGAATTCAGAGGTGAGGATCGTTCATAATCTGGGAGTTAATTTCTTTCCATTTATGCCCCATATGGATGTGAACAGTAAAGATTCCCTATAGATGAATAAGAGGATTTTTTTTTTTTAATGTGTATAAAAGATAGAAACTTTTTGCAAAGTTTTAAGTCTATGGTTTGTTAAGATAATCAGTGCTCAGGTGGAGATAATACAGCAAAATTATGTATTCTATGTCACAATAAGCTGAATAATACTTTAATTTTCTCTTGGAGTGAAGTAAACAAAAATAATGAATACTTCCATGCGCTCATTTTTATTGCATTAATATTGGGGTGTTAAAAATGCATGCTAATAAATATTAAAGTAGAATAATTAAATCTAAGTATAACAGTTTCTTTAATGTGTTTCTTGGTCTGGAAGCGTAGCAAGCGAGCTCCTCTCTAATGCACATTTCTCTGTTAGTTGCAGTCCTTTCTTATGCATGTAAGTACACTGGACAGAGCTGAAGTATTTTCACAGTGTAGTAACATCTTGTATTCACTTTTTCAGAACTATCATGACGTCATGTCTTGCCACCCAGAAAACTTTCAGTGGGAGCACTGGAGTTTTGAAAACGTTGCGACCATACTTGCTCGACGGTTCCCTAATAGCTTCATTTGGGTTGTAAAATGTTCTCGAATGCACCTGCACAAATTCAGTTGTTATGACAACTTTGTCGTGAGCAACATGTTTGGAGCACCAGAGCACAGCACAGACTTTGGAGCTTTCAAGCATCTCCATGCATTGCTAGTTAATGCATTCAGACTCTCTCAGAATATTCTGCTGTCCCAGAAAAGCATGCATGGTGTCAGCAAGGATGCAAAAATAGCTGCTTGTAAATCACAGCCGCAGTCTGTTCCTACAACAAATGGTGGCTCATCCACAGAAAGAGAGAGAGATTGTGAATGCTCTAATAATTCTGCTATGAACTTCATTGTACCATCTGCTGTAGGTGCAGCATCATTTACTTTGATTGGCTTCAGTAAAGGTTGTGTGGTTTTGAACCAGCTACTTTATGAGCTGAAGGAAGCTAAAAAAGACAAGAATACAGATGCCTTCTTAAAAAACATAAAAGCAATTTACTGGTTGGATGGTGGTCACTCGGGAGGAAGCAATACTTGGGTTACTTACCCTGAAGTGCTGAAAGAACTTGCGGAGACAGGAGTTGAAGTTCATGCTCATGTTACGCCATACCAAGTGTTTGACACAATGAGGTCATGGATTGGGAGAGAGCACGAGAAATTTGTACAGATACTTGAAGGATTTGGTGTAGAAGTAAATGATCAACTACATTTTGCTGATGATGATCCCTCCTTAGATAACCATTTCAGAGTTCATGAAGTATTTTGAAACTTTCTGTATCTGAATAGTGTATTCATTGTAAAAGCACTTTTAACATTGTAAATGTTTTCACCTAGATTTGCAACTTTGTGCAGATGCTTTCTGAAGGGAATATTAGATCAGTCCTGTGTTGCTGATAGATACTATATATAAATTTCAGTAGTTTAAAAGGGAGGTTCGGACCCCATATCTACAACAGATGTTGTCACTTATTCCTAGAAAAAATGTTATGAAGAACTATCCTATACATGGTTGGGTTTTTCTGTTAAATGTGAACATTTATTCTGAAGCTATTGGCAAAATTTTTAGTCTTGGATGTCTAATGTCATATACTGCCTTTAATGGTAGTTTGAAGTACTCAAGCCCTTCAAATTTTGGAATACTTCAGTTTAGTATTAGGGTTAAAAGCTTTGCTCTTTGTCATTAACAAATGTGAGGTTAGGTTTTTGGCTTAAGGAAAATTATAATTGTTAGAGCTTGTTAGAATCTTAGTTATATACTTTGGTGAAAACTTATAATTAGTTAATTAAATCTTCCAGTTTTGTAACATTTCTCCTAATTGAAACAAAGTCACAAATATTTACCTTTGGAATAATAGTGCCAATCCGTTTTAATTCCTTATGTGTGCCTTCCTTTTTCTGTTGCTATAAAGCTCCATTAATTCATTGTATTTATGTTCTAGTGATAGCCATGTCACCTGGAGGCTTGAAAATTTTGACATAGCTATGTTAAGTGACCAAGAATGCTGATGAGTGCGTGGCTTATTGCTGTTTCAACATACCTTGCTATTGCTTTGACTAACGTCTCAAAGGACCAGCAGTAATATCTGTATTTTTGTGTCAAGAGGTGTCCTTATCCCTGCATTGGACTGATGAGGTTTTCCTTGCTAATGATTGCATTGATGTCGATCTAAATCGAGCTGTAAGAACTTCACATATTGCAAGTTGCATAAAAAAAATTTAGACTGTGTTGACTGTAGCTGTTTCACAATGCCTTGTTTTTTTAAACTATTATCTCCTTTAAATATACTGCATTAGTTGCTTCTAGAGCCACACAAAAATCTATTTTCAGAGCCTAATTTTCATACAGGAAAAAAATAAACCTCTAATTAAACACAAAGCTGGACTAATCAGATACAAAAGATGCAGTCTATTTCAGGCCCCAAACCTGCATGTTCTTTAGACAGAATTACTGAAAAATGAACAAATAAACTAGTGGAACTTTTCTACTGTTTTTAAGTAACTTTCCAGTTATCTACAAATAAATTTTATAATAACTCTTAAAGACAGCTGCAGCTATTAACAGTGAACAGCTTAAAATGGTTTTGGATTTGCTGAAAGTATAGGAATACAAAACACCGTGAAGATTACACAAACTATTGTGGTTCAGTTACAAAAAAAAGGCATTTTATTCACTTTGCTCCTATGTTTGATGGCTTAGCAACCTCTTACCCTGCTTCTTGCTTCCTGTGACTCTTGCGCTGTGGGAGGAAAGTCCCGAGTCATTTTTCTTCTATTGGCATCATTAAAACTTACAAGGTTCACTGGAGACAGTGTTTTCACAACTCTTGCAGAGGTTGCATGCCTCTTTGTTCTGTATAGGAAATATGGGTGACCTAACAAAGTGTTTTTAATGGGAAGCTTACAAATAGCTTGAAATATCTTTAAATTATCCACTTATATAATAAACTTAAAAAAATAACAACAAAACCCCCAGAACACACCACTGATCTAGCTCCCCTCTCAAACCGACCAGACTAACTTGGGTATGCTAAAACTTGCCCTGTCCAATAACAGTGCAGATCATAGACCAGTTTCTAAACAATTCTGTGCCAGCCAAAACAGCAGGAGTAGGTTGGTGCAAGCTTTTGGAATCAGCTATTAAAATATTGACATTGTCTTCAGAAGTTTCTGGATGTCTGCCCTATGAAAATATTAACCTGTTTGATGGAGGCTGCTTACAATAACTGTTAAATAAGCTCTAGTGGTGTTGTATTAATTTGAAGAATAAGGACTTTGTTGTGAACCTAATCTTCTTGTGAGATCTCATGTTGTGGAGGGAAAACTGACCAGTTGTTTTTCATTCTCTAAACAGTGGTAGTACTCTGTTGGAATGTGCCTCTGTCATTCACTACAAAGCATGCTAATAATAACTTTTGCAAACAACGTAGAAAATAAACTACTTCTGATGGGTGAAACCACTTTGATGTGAATGCAAAGCCATTAAGGAATGTGCAGTTAAATTTCATGGATTAAGCTTTATCAGGTGTTATACAAACCTAGATTAAAAAAAAAATCAGATTTGTTAGCTTTTCTTCAAGGAAGAAAAGTGTTTGTGTGGCCAGCGTCTGTAACTCTGCAACAATTTACTGGCATCTTGTGTACTTGGAAAAGCTAGCATGAAATATCCATGAGTGTGAGCATTTCTATGTTAGGATGAAATAGGTCATAGTCTGTATATCCCTGTTTCTGAATGTTAACTGTAAAGGCAGTTTTTAATAAGATTAGATGCAAATACCTGAAGTTCAGTGAGTCAATATACAGAGATTTAGTTCAAGACATTTCTGGTTCTGAACAGAATGAGTGACATTACACAGTCCTTCATACAACCTAGTTTGTAATAGCTGGTATTCTTCATACTACATACTTGTTTCTTGTACAGCAGACAAGACACTCTTAGATTTTGAGGAAAGCTGAAATGTTTTAAGCTGTACCTGTTAAATTTCTTTAAAACAAGGCTTGATTCTGTGAAATTCTTCAGACTTCTATATAACTTATTTGATTTTATTTTGTGTGCATCTGAAATACTAGAAATTTTGGTAACCTTCATATCTAGGACTAATTTAATAGCATCTGTGTAAATGCTGCTGCATAAATCAGTATTTGCCTCTAATTCTGAAAGGTGATGAAGGGTCCAAGTCTTAACATATTGCTGAAAGGACCCATCTCTTCTGTCCTCCCATCGCTAACATTCTGCTGCCTCCCTTATGCTAGCACAAGCACTTTATGGTTAGCTTACCATGTTCTACCTTACTAAGTTATTCGTGCTGATGGATATAACTAGCAGGAGTGGTGTGTATTTAAACAGGCATAGAAATTATTTTAAATAAGTCTGCTAAGTCAGTTTGGGAGTTAGAATGTTACAACTGTGGCTATTTACAGCTAAAAGTGGTTGTTCATGATCATGCACTCAGATTTTCCCAATGGGTTCTCTTTGAGCAATTTGCAGAAAGAACACACCTGGTTTTTCTTCCCTCTTAGGGTGCTTCATACGATGGTGTCTTTCCTAAGCTAACAGTTCTTTCATCTCTGCAGATAAGTAATATTTGTTGTCTCGTATAGACTGAAAGTTGAAGCACCGAGGTTAAAGTATAACCATCCACTTACCTTGAATGCACATTTAAATTACATGGGGTCTTACCAGTTAATACAAGAAAGTAGTTAAAGAACAGTAAAAATTCTGATGTGTGTGCTGTGTTGTGAGCCACATTTTTAGGTCAGCAGAGTTCACAAACACGAACTCTGCCTGGCGTCCCTGTGCAATATAAGAGCCCATGTCTCAGACTTGCAATACAGACAAGAGAGTGCTTCAAATCACCTTTGCAGTTACTTCTTCACACTGTTTTTAATCTTACATTGCAATACAATTCACTTCTGTGTGGATGGTAGATTAAAAAGAAAAGTTTGCTTCTGGTGCTCACAACCTGATGAAAATTTAGACACATTTAAATACTGCTGATGGAGACCCTAAGACCAAAGCTGGCTTTCTGTTGGTCTTCTTGATCTCTTAATTCTGTTCAGATGAAAGGTAGAATCATAGAATCGTTAGGGTTGGAAAGGACCTTAAGATCATCTAGTTCCAACCCCCCTGCTGTGGGCAGGGACACCTTACGCTAAATCATATCACCCAAGGCCTCGTCCAACCTGGTCTTGAACACTGCCAGGGATGGAGCATTCACAACCTCCCTGGGCAACCTATTCCAGTGCCTCACCACCCTAACAGGAAAGAGTTTCCTTCTTATATCCAACCTAAACTTCCCCTGTTTGTTTTAACCCGTTACCCCTTGTCCTGTCACTACAGTCTCTAATGAAGAGTCCCTTCCCAGCATCCCTATAGGCCCCCTTCAGATACTGGAAGGCTGCTATGAGGTCTCCACGCAGCCTTCTCTTCTCCAGGCTGAACAGCTCCAACTTCCTCAGCCTGTTTTCATACGGGAGGTGCTCCAGTCCCCTGATCATCCTTGTGGCCCTCCTCTGGATTTGTTCCAACAGTTCCATGTCCTTTTTATGCTGAGGACACCAGAACTGCACACAATACTCCAGGTGAGGTCTCATGAGAGCAGAGTAGAGGGGCAGGATCACCTCCTTCGACCTGCTGGTCACACTCCTTTTGATGCAGCCCAGGAAACGGTTGGCTTTCTGGGCTGCAAGCGCACACTGCCAGCTCATGTTCATTTTCTCATCAACCAACATCCCCAAGTCCTTCTCCACAGGCCTGCTCTGAATCTCTTTGCCCAACCTGTAGCTGTGCCTGGAATTGCTCCGACCCAGGTGTAGGACCTTGCACTTGGCATGGTTAAACTTCATGAGGTTGGCATCAGCCCACCTCACAAGCGTGTCAAGGTCTCTCTGGATGGCATTCCTTCCCTCCAGGGTATCAAGAACCACACAGCTTGGTGTCATCGGCAAAAAAAAGGTGACTGTTTTTAACTCAAATAAAACAACATGAAGTCGTTAAGCCAGTAATGCAAAATCATGTAACACCTATGTGGCAGACAGACACTGCTTCTCCCAGTGCCAGGCGTACAGTTCCTAACTAAATTAATTCTATCAGTATTATCAGCATAATTCACTCCTCCCTCTGACAAAAAAAAAAACCACTTGCACAGGATTAGCTGTTCCACATCACTTCAGAAACCGTGGAAAACTGATTCAGGCAGTCATTTTGCATGTAATGTAGTGTGGGTTATAAAGCAGTGATGGCTTTGTTGTTGTTTCCTGCCATTAGGGCTTCATTATATGTTTCTAACTGACTCAAGGAATGCCAAATTCTACTTAACCAAATTACCAGAAAAGCATCTGGCAAAACAAAAGGGAAAAATAAATCATCTGGTTTTTACTTCACGTGTATAAACATCTCATGTACTTGAAAAGGGGCAGAATGCCATCACTCTAAGGTTCAGAATAAATATTCTGTCTTTCATTAAGCTTTCAGAGAGCACTTTCAGTCACAACTGTTAGATTGCTTTGTTAATCTTGGCACTTCAGAGCTGAGTTGTTTCTAAAGAAAGCTCTGCTGCAAGACACAGAAAACAGTCAAGGGTCATAGCAGTGCTGAAGTGCAAAACAAGGCTTTTTGTCTCTCCCACACCAGTTTACACTCTGAGCAATATTCCTAAGCCTGGGTATCAGATCAATCTATTCCATACCTTACATGATCTCTGCATAGCCCTTCTTTCTGATTCCCCATCATGAGAAATGCATTAATTTTGTGTGACTGAAGTTTTAAGCGATTCATGCACAGCTGAAATATGAATGTTTTCACAGCAAAAACTGCCCATAACTATGATCTGTGTTATTATTGCAAGCAATAGCTTCTGAGCTTTTTTGTATGAACACAGCATCGCATGTGGAGTTGCATGTTTTACATGGTTGAGCAGTTCTTTTAATGTTTTCAATCTGCTGTTAAAAATGTTGACTAGGAACAGATCTGGATCTGAACAATTGGAAAGGAAGTAATCCACGCTTGTTTCTCTTGGGAATCGCCACTTAAAAGAGATCATTACTCTCAGGAATTATCACACAGAGAGCTCAGAATCTATCCCCACTCCTAGAGCCTGACCCAAAGGAAAACAAGAAATCTTGTTTTGTACCACAAACTTAGGTAACTGTCAGAACAGATCTAGTATTTCATCCATCCTTCTAGAGCACTGGAATCTTTGGTTATTGAGTGACAGTAACGGAGAATCTCTTGTAAAAGTTACTGTCTCAGAATATCTATCTTCAACACCTGTGTTGTCTGCATGGAGACATGTAAGTCTCTGGCTTGGAAAGACACATTTTGGTCAGAGGAAATGAATCATGAACCAGGACAAATTCGGCTGAGGCCTGCCTTCCCATAACAGGGGGTTGGAACTAGATGATCTTAAGATCCTTTCCAACCCAAACCATTCTGTGATTCTGTTATTCTCACAAGCTGAGACATAAGTGGATTGTTCATACAGTGACTGCTGCTCCATCAACTTTCCTTATTTATACGTGAAAGTTGAGGGGTGCTGAGAACACCAAGCCAGGACCTCTGTTTTGGGAATGGAACATTAAGAAATAGCAGAATGAGGGATCGGTACAGTACTTCCCTGTACTAGCATATTGAGAAACTGCCAGTGGTTAGAGTTTAAAGGGATAGCTATTCAGGCACAGTGCTGGAACACAGCTTTGTCTAGCCCTGGAGGCTCTCTGAGTCTCTCCATTCAGTCCTAACACACAAAGAATATGCTCTGTACACCTCTGCAATTCAGATGGGGCCCTCAATATTACCGGTACAACAAAGCCAAGAGGCTTCCCCAGCCTAACAGCTTCTGTCTCAGCAGTATGCACAAACAGTCCTTGTTTGGTTTAGAACAAAAATTTTGGGAGACCTATTTGTGATCCCAAATTTAAATTCTACCCTCAGAACATACAATGATGCCCATCTGAATCGCTTGGCTGGTTCCATTCAAGCCTATTCATTAAGATGGCCGGGTGCCCATTCACATGGTAGCAGACTATTTTCACTGTGTTGAACTGCCAAGAAGAACAGGTTTAGAAGAATAATCTGTACAGTGTTGCAGTCTCCAGCTCTTCTGCATGGGATTTTTCCCATCACTTTATTAACATACCGATTTAGTCTAAGAGCTGACAAGTTACAGTTCTCAAAAAACACTGCTAGAATAACCAACTGACCTAAGTCAGATAACTGCTGCATGCCCCAAACAGCACAAGTAACATCAGAGGTATTTCAAAGGGACAGTTACTATCTTTTCTGTGATATGCCCATCTTTATTTCATAAGGCTTTTGTAAGCACCACAATCTGCTGAAAAGTAACCATCTACAACGCCTGTACAAAAGGCATGATACCAAAAGGTATCATGCAACCCCCTTTCATATGATAATAGAATGTATCTTAAATACTTCCCCAAGAGATTCTACATCTACTCCATAACTAGGAACTTAATTTCATATTTTAGCACTGTAGCTGTATGGATTTGGGGGCACATAAGATCCAAGTGTTTCACAGCTGCAGAAACAGCAATGCCACCTGACTGCACTGGGAAAGGGATCGACAAGGTTTCCTGCATAACACATAATTCAGCTAGGAAAGAAGTAAATCATTTTACCTTGAAGTCAAGCTGCTGTACAATTCCAAGCTTAGCCTTGCATGACTAGCTTTTGCTTTTTTCCCCATGACCACCCAGTTTCACCACAAGGGGGAGCAGAAACTCCCCGTTACTACTAGGTAATTACTCAAAGAAACCATGAATTCGAACAAACCACCACCAATTGGCTTTCTCAGACCTCCTCAGAAACCACTCTGACTTTCCTAAACTTTAGTAAATGAGATAGCATTCAGGAAGACGTGAAGTTACTTCTAAGCATACATGCTGTCAGCCCAGCCCAGATACCAAAACTGTCGTTAAGAAAAATATAAGTAGAACACTCCGTAGAAGTAGAGTTGTACATTCAGGCACTGAAATACATGCCTCCTTGCAGAGGACAGACCAACTCCAGACCAAGCAGACTGTGCACACACTGCACATGAGGAAAAATGAATTAAAAAGTCTACCAGATAAACTTTGTTATAGATGAATGTTTATCAACACAGTTCTCATTGGTCTTGCAGAAAGCTTATGTATGTACATATGGACAGTTTCCATATTAGCATGCAATTTTCTACTTTCACAGGAGCTTGCTGAATTAAAATGTGTTTTATCCATTATCATTCCTGTAGGCTTTTTCTTGGATGCGTAACACCATTCTCCGAGCATAAAAATCCCTATATTCCTCAGGTAGTTCTTCGAGTGTTTTCAAGGCCCTGTCCAAGATCTGTAGAGCTCTAGAGGCTGCAGTAGGATCTTTATTCCCATAAGTGTCATTCTTATCATAGCAATCAGCAGGAAGGTGCTTCCAAAAGACATTCAGGGCCACTCCAAATTCCTCAGAAATTACATTGTGGAACCACAAAGCTGTAGGAAGAAGAATGTCTAAAGTTAAAACGACTATCTGAAACTTTCAAGTGACTTGTAACAAGTGTCAGAATCACCCAAACTAGATCTTGCTGAGGAAAGCCTCAAATGCTGTATTTCTTGTTTATTTGTAAATAGTCATCCCTGAGTATATTGCATTGTACCAAATTTAAGAAGTTCTTCAAGATATTCACATCAACCCATAACTTCACACAAAAGTAACAAGTGCCGAAGTATAAACACTCAAATATAAGCAAACCATAAGCATATGTAGGATGAAAATAAGACATTTTCCCTGTTCACTCATCTCTACTTTAAATGCAGATATCTTTTCATAGATACAGTCCTTAACTTTGCACAGATTGTCCAAGCAGTAACACAAACCACAAGTGTCAGCCACATCACCCTATGAAACTATTTTTACTATGAGAAGATTAGCAACTTTCTACTATAAAAAGATTGGCAATTTGCATTCTGCTAATCTTTTCATAGTAAAGTTGTGAGGCTTTTCAATTGAATCATCATGGCTGTGGTAAGGAAGCAAAGACATTTTTGCCTCATCAAGTACATTTTAAAAAGAAATACGATATGGTATATTTAACCTATTTCAATTTTAAGCTAAGAGACTGAATGCCATGCTTGTTGCAGTTTAGTTGCTTGTATGTGCTGAAGACATAGAAAAGCTTATTCTGAGAAATGAACATGAAGCTTTTTTCAGGTTCAGAAGAGGGGCTGCTTCTACCTTCTCTGTAATAATCACATACATTTCTCAAAAAAGCATCTTTTTTCAGCGATATATATTCCAGAATGCTGACAAAGCAAGCACCGTTCTCTGGACTCAAAAATCCCTATTCTCCCCAGCCATTCTTAAGAGTGCTGAATGTGTTTTAAGTTTGAACCAGCACATTTACTAGCAAAACCAAACTAATATCTGCATTGCATAGAACAAAGCCGAAATTATGTACGCTGACATTACCAACACTGACATACCTTTTGCTAACTGTAATCAAAAGTTTCTTTAGAAAGAATCATAAATGGTAAGTTCAAAATTAAGTAACAAGTCTAAGACAAAGAATATACCTTAAAACTTCCAAAAGATCTACTGTATTCTTGTTTACCATCCTGTTTATGTTGTCCAGATAACATGAAAAGCAATAGAGTAAGTATCTGTCACAATCTCATAATGAGTCTAAATAAAAAATTAACAAGCAGGTGTAGTTCAATAAGAGTAATTCAGCTGCCTTTTCCTGATCACCAGAATTTCATCATCTTAGCCCAGGAAGCAGCTTTGCATTTTCTGCTTGTGTAGAAAAATGATTAGGACTTGTCCTTCCATCCACTGAAGGTGATTATAAATTCCTAGAAGGTCCAATAACTGTACCATCTGTAATCCTCATCAAATCATACGCCTCACAGTTCTTAAGTGCTAGGGCTTTAGAAGAACAGAAACAGTACCTCACTCATTCTGCCATTAGAAAACCCAGGTCACTGAAATAATTTCAGATTTCACAAGTTGACTTTATAGTGCTACTCTATTAAGACACGAATTCAGAAGCATACAGTGTAATCTTGAAGGAAGGTAAGCTTGTAGGTAGATAAAATAATACCTATCATTAGGCTAATTAGTACAGTTAGAAGAAGTAGACATGTTTTGCCAATGTCTTTAGATGCCCCTACTTATAACACAGACATGCTTTTGTAGTGTCTTACCATCCCTTAAAATGTGAAATTGCAAACAAAACTATTTCAAAAAACACACTGCGGTCAGGATCTCTTTGTTGCTTACCTGGAATAAATAACACATCTCCTGCTTCCAGAAAACATTGATAGTGCTTGGCTTTCACAAAAAGGGGGTATTTCTCTAAGTCTGGGTTATCCACATCCAGCACCTCCGAC